TACTGACAACATGAGTCTTAGTCTCATATATAATGTACTGACAACATGAGTCTTAGTCTCATATATAGTGTACTGACAACATGAGTATTAGTCTCATATATAATATACTGACAACATGAGTCTTAGTCTCATACATAATGTACTGACAACATGAGTCTTAGTCTCATATATAATGTACTGACAACATGAGTCTTAGTCTCATATATAGTGTACTGACAACATGAGTCTTAGTCTCATATATAATGTACTGACAACATGAGTCTTAGTCTTGTACATAATGTACTGACAACATGAGCCAGTTTATAAATATTTCAAAAGAATTATTTTAATCATTGATCACTCAAGCTAATATTCTTCTTTCTTGAGGAAAGAGTCAAAATGTGTTGTTTTGTTTCGTAAATGTTTTGTATATGGACTTTTTACAGATTTAATTTTCAAAGGAATATTATTGTACTAAGATGTACTGATGTATATGTTCTGTTGCAGGTCTGGAGAGTGTATCCCACTTCCCCATTCTGGCGGCCACTATAGGAATATTGGACCAGTTATTGCTCAAGTCAGGAAAGGAGAAGTATGTGTAGAAAATGATACATTTATAGTAATAGCTCTCTAATGAATGAGATGTATCCCCAAGCTCTCTAATGAATGAGATGTATCTATCCCCAAGCTCTCTAATGAATGAGATGTATCCCCAAGCTCTCTAATGAATATACTGTACAATGTATTATCAATCTATTACATAAATAATAATAATAGTAATAATTTGAGGTTTATATATACCACTTTATCACAACCTAGTTCGTAGGTCATCTGAACGCGCAGGTGGTTGATTATCTTTCTCAACTCCCTGGGGAGCATACAGCCGGTGCTGCCATTTTGGTGCTCACAGCTAGCATTCAACAATTCTAACACTGCCCAACCACATATACATTTACAGCTGAGTAGACTCGAACAAGCGGAGTAAAGTATCTTGCTCTAAGGTACAACACAGTGCCGTGTCGTGAAACGGACCCACAACACTTCGGTCATGATCACAGGGTCCTACCACTAGACTACTGTGTCTCCTTGCACAACTAGCTCTACCAACTATGCCTAGTCACGACTAGCTCTACCAACTATGCTTAGTCACGACTAGCTCTACCAACTATGC